AAATCTCGCCATTGTTGTACTAACAGTAATTGCTTTTGCTTATGGCCGGGCTTGAATATGCTGGCTTTAAAAGTTTACTGTGCAATATATTGCTTCATTCTCAGTGGCACTAGATACTAACCCTACGCAGAAAATGAACAGTGAATATGTGTTATCTATTTCTAGATATCTTCAAAATTGCTGAGAATCTTTGTTAATGGAAGAACATCAGGATTGATATTTGTCTGGAATTGATTTGAATAGTTGATACTGAGATAAAAAGAAGGAAAACAGCCTGATTTCCCTGAGAGAATTAGAGGGGTAGTTGGACTGCAGCTTGCGATGGATGGTAATGGTTAGCACGGTGAGATGGATTTCAAGCTGTAACTGATGTGGCTATCTAGATATTTTTTTTCCCTCCTGCATATTTTTGAGGTGTAAAGTAATGTATCCAACACGGGGGAAGAACTATTTCCTGGACGGTCAGATCTATTGCCAAACTCTGGATTAGGGAAATACCTTATTATCCAGCTGGTATAGATGACAGGGTTAGACTTTTTAAACATAAAACATAAATCTGCTTTTTAAAAAATTACCTAAACCCAGACAGAATTTGAGGTTTACAAGCTGTGGCTCTGAGGATAGGTGTGAAGCACAGGAGGCTTCTGTGGCCACTGCCATGAGCTTTCGTAGCCTCATTTCTCCTTCTGCCTCAGCTGTTGTGTTCTTCACATCTGTATGGAGCTGATGCAAAATATTCTGATTATTTGCCCAGAAAAGCTCTCCAGTCAGCCCTTGCAAATCAGCTCTAAGGGACCATAATGATTTTGACAAAATGTTAACCTTTTATATACACTTAAAAAGAGGTCTTTTTATCAGAACAGAATGTTTTGATTTTTTTAAGTTACTTTGCATTTATGTATTACGTATCATACACAGTGGAATTTTAAATGAGGTCAAAGCAATTCATATTCACTTTTATCTTAAATGTTTCAATTAATGTAAAAAAGGACTTTGTAGGAAAAAAAGAAAAAAAAACCCAAACCCTTGGTATTGGAATGTGACTGAATTTTATGCTTTCAGAATTCACTGTGAATCTTCCATTCCCACACCACCACTCCACATATATGCCAAAATATATTTGTGGAACTGCACCAGATATAGTGATAGATTTAATGAAACAGGTGATGATTTCGTAGAGGAAAAATTGTATTTGTGAACTCTATGTACCTGTATACAGGAACAGAATCTGGTTTATGGCAGCAAGATCCTGGTACCCTTATTCAACCCAGGTTTTCATGATGAATATTCTGTCTAGACATCAGTCTCAGGTTTTCAGTAAAGAACTTGGAACTCCTGCTAAGAGGTTTATGTTATCATGAAGTACAGATCATGAAAAGGAAAGGAACGGGGCTGTCATGGCTGTTCTGGAATATCTCTTTTAAATAGTTATTTTACATACAGGGTAGTCTAACCTTTGAAGTTGAAGTGTTCACAGCATTAACATATAACTCCCAGCAAGAGCCTTTTCTTTTTCCCTTAACTTCTACAAAGAGAAGCTTAGCCTAAAAATAGGCAGTTACTTGCTTAGATTCAAACATTCAACCGGGATCTCCCTATTAAGTTGGAAAGGGGAAAAAGACGTAGAATTTGATATACAAATGGAGCTTTCTGAGTGACTGTTGAAGGTGGGACGCTGTTCTCCTAACACCATGTCTTTTAGCCTTCTCAAAGCTAAACGTCTACCAGCATTCCAGTCACTCCCTGCCAATCCTGTGGGGAGAGATGCATTTGATGGCAGCCGTGTATCTTCCTTCCCTGGCACCCGCCTTCAGTGTGCCTGGAAAACCCTGGGAAGGCTTTTCCTTGCTGCCTAAATGTCTTAGTAAAGCTGTACAAGACTGTTCCGACCCGGACACTGCGAGCTGGCTGTTTTCTTAATGTTCTTATTATGTTCTGTTTCCTGGTGTTCAGAAAAAATTCCAAATACTGTATTTTTCAGGGATTGAAAATCACTCTTTCTGCCTTACCGCTTACAGCCTCAGCTTGGGTGCATTATAATGGCTCAGAAAAGCACTCGTATAACGCCTTATTGCTGAAGGATGGTTTGTGGTAGTTTCAAATAATTTGCAGTTCAGTTCATTCTTTTTTTTTTTTTTTTTTTTTTTTTTTTTTTTTTTTTTTTCTCCCCCCTCCTGGCTTTTTCAGGAAATAATCCTGATGTGATTTGGGAAGCCCTTCAGAAATATTGGCACTGTTGACCTTAAACGTAAGTTGAAAATAGTACCAAGTGTATACAAGTGAAGTTACACATTATAAACCTACAGCAAACAACTTCAGTGGTCCTGAGTCACTTCACGGGCAAAAGTTATCTGTGTCATCCTTATTAGTAGCCAGTATCTCTCTGATGTTTTTTTCTTTCTCTCTTCTTCAGCTCCCTTTTTTAGATACCGGATACTTCTTTTATCACAATGGCATTGCCAAGGCCAGGAGAAGACGTAGTCTTCAACACAAGCTTCATCTGGAAAAGGATTCCAGGGTAAGTGTTTCATCATTATGCACACCTATAGTGTTTTCTTTGTGACACAGACTATTTTTTATCAGATCAGGGTGATGATCAAATCTGTGGTTATGGCTGTGGTTTTTTTTCCCCAGTGCTTGTTTCAGGCTTAGTGACTGCTGTATGCACATACCTCCCAAACAGCCTCAGCTTTTATTTTTATTTCACTACTACAAATATCTTAGATTCTCTAAGATGTATCCTCTTTCCAGTAAGACTCAGTGATGCTGTAGTCTCCAGGATGTCTCGCCATCCAGGGTAAATCCCAGAGTTTCCCCCCCCCCCCCCCCCCCCCCCCCCATCCTGCTTGTCTGTGGGTCATCCAGCCCAGAATACCCTGTGGTGTTGAATGGTGGAATTTTCTCTACAGTCACACTGGGACTTTTCTTCAGCGAATGATGTACACCCCAGATGCTAAGAGAGTGTATGCTGTCAAAACTCAGTATTTCTTTTAGAGGCTCTTGATCGCAGTCAGCAAATGGTGTGCTCGCTCGGTTTTCAGAAGTGTAAACCATCAGGCAGGAGGGAAAGGCTCCTTTTGCAGAAGGCTACAAGCTGGCACTAGCAAATTCTTTTTTTCTACAGAGTTCTTACACCAGTATAATACTGGGCTGGAGTGGGGCCAGGTAGCACAAAAAGTGTATTTACTGCCCAAAGAAAGTAGATAAGCCTGAGGAATGATATCATGACAGCAAATAGATTATTTTTTTAATCCTTTAGTAGGCTTTAAACTCTCTGCACTGTGAGCAAAAGAGAGGGGGGAACAATTTTATTCCAGTCAGAATTTTTATTGCCAGATATTCTATGGTATTGGAGCACCTATAAGAATGAAAAGCTGAGTAGGAAGAAAAGAAAGATAGGTTAAATAAGATCATAATTGTTTTTGTGACACCAAAGCAAGCCAGGTCTGATGAATTCCCAGCTTAATTTTCCTAATTCTGCAGAGATGTCAAGTGGTTCTGGGCCCAGGGCCAATTGGGATGCACGTGGCTGGCCGCTCCTGCGGCTGGGAGCCATGTGACTGAACCACACAGGTTCCCCATCAAGTGATGCTGAGAGCTGGCAGGTTCCCTGTGGCTGCTGATGGCCTTCCAGAGCTCTAAGGTACCTCTTCCTGGCCCCCTTCTCTGAAGCTGGTACCAGGTACAGGCTGTGAGGAAGAGACCCATTCAACCTGCCTTGAATAGAAATTCTCAGGCTTCCCTTGTTTTGTTTACCAAACAGGGATCAGAAAGTCAACCATTCAGAATCCACCTGCAATTAGTGGATACTAATACTGGATCAGTACTTAAAGGGAGTCTATAGGAAAGATGGGGAAAATCTTTTTAGTAGGGCCAGCTGTGACAGGACAAGGGGTGTAATCGTTTTACACTAAAACAGGGTAGGTTTAGACTGGCTATAAGGAAGAAATTCTTTACAATGAGGGTGGTAAAACACTGGCACGGGTTGCCTAGAGAGGTAGTGGAGGCCCCATCCCTGGAAACATTCAAGACCAGGTTGGATGGGTCTCTGAGCAACCTGATCTAGTTAGCAGTGTCCCTGCTCACTGCAGAGGGGTTGGGCTAGATGACTTCTAGGGGTCCCTTCCAACCCAAAACATTCTATGATACTAAGCAAGTGTCCTGAGAGAGGTGTCTTGCATTTCCCTGAACCACCCAGTCTTGTTAAAAGCCATTTCAGAAAAAGTGTACAACTAAGTGAGTATGTTGCAAACTAGTGACTGAGTACAGTCATTGTGCAGGTGACTCTGTACTGGAAATAAATATTTTTGTGAGCCTTTGAAAATTTTACAAATATGTATGGTATCTGTATGAATCCACCAATTCTCACTGCAGCCTCAGTGTTATGTGGCTGAGCACTCCCGTACTAATTCCAGACTGGCTCTTGCATTGACTGGCTCTAGATTAAGTTGTCTGCAGTGCTGTTAAGAACAGCTTAAATGCATCTACCTTCTTGTTCAGAGATGTTCTCTTTTGCAGTCATCTGATATTTGTGGTCTCTAGACTCTTAGTTGGCTTCTATCATGTGCAATGAAATCTCATTTTTGTGTTAATCTCCATGTCTTCCCGGTGCTTCGTGCCAGTGGCTCGGCTCTCCTTGGCTCCCTCCTTTGAGCTCAGACAATAAAGCCCCAGGGAATATCTCCATGTGAGGAAAAGGATGATCCTGGGTATATCCTGACCTCATGGGTTGCCCTGGGGGATGGAAGCAATGTTTCATTTCCACATGTAACATGGCATTTTCTTATCTAGCCCTCCTACCTACTCTGTCCTGTTGGATAGTCCTTGAGCTCTTACAATACCATATGTCAGTTGCTTTTTGTAATGCAGTCTGAGAGCAATTAAAATCATTACTCTTATTTCCCTTCTTTCTTTTATACTTGGAGTTTGGAGAAGTCATTAAAATTCCTGTCATATTTGCTTGTAAGTGGAAACATGAATTGTGTTGACAGTACTTAATTTCAAACTCCAAAAATAATTTCTAAATTTAATGGCAGCTTTCTAGGCCATTTTCTTTCAATTTTACTTGGCAACAAATGTCAGCATTGTCATGGTTAATATGTTAATGCCTGAAGCCAAGAATAAAATGTTCCTGTTGTCAGGCAGGACAGGAAGCAAACTTCCACCACAGGGCCTTACGAATCTCTCGGGAACCATCATGGTAAATACCGTAGTTGCTTTGCCCTACCCAAATATTGTAAGAAAGTGGGCTGCAGTTATTCTGTATACTTTTCATTTTTAAGGAGATTACAATTCCTAGCTAATTTTAATTATTAGTTGAAAAACAGCACAGATGTTCACTCAATTAATTAATGTTCTTTAATCAGGAAAGTCCCATGAGGAACCATGCTAGTTTTTCTAAGAGTCCAGGGAGATAGATGGCAGAGCACTATGCAAACAGGTTACTGCATCATTTTCATGCTCTGCATGTCTTCTAAAATGCTCAAAAAAACTTTGTTGTGTAAAATTTGCAGTATGTTTTTACCAAAATAATTTGGAGATATGCTAAACGTATACAGCAACTGTGTGATAAACATCATTGCTGTCAAGGGGGTGGGAATGGAGCACCATTAAGATGCTGTCGTGGTTCAACCTGGCAGGCAGCTGTGCACCACCCAGCTGCTTGCTCATTCCCCACCTCAGTGGGATGGATTGGAAAAAAGGTAAAACCCATGGGTTGAGACAAAGACAGTTTAATGAAACAGCAGAGGAAAATAATGGTAAGAGAATATACAGAATATACAAAACAAGTGATGCCCAGTGCAATTGCTCACCATCCACTGACTGATGCCCAGCTCGTCCCTGAGCGGTGATCACTGTCTCCCAGCCAACTCCCCCATTTATGTGCTGAGCTTGATGTCATATAGTATGGAATATCCTTTTGGCCAGTTGGGGTCAGCTGTCCCAGCTGTGTCCCCCTCCCAGCTTCTTGTGCACTGGGCAGAGCACGGGAAGCTGAAAAGTCCTTGACTAGTCTAAGCACCACTTAGCAACAACTAAAACATCAGGGTGTTACCAAGATTCTTCTTGTACTATATCCAAACCACAGCACTATACCAGCTCCTAGAAAGAAAATTAACTCTATTCCAGTCAAAACCAAGACAGATGCCTTCCCAGAGATCTAGCATGAACTGAATCTTTGTTCTGACGAACAACCTCAAATACGATGGATTTGACATTATTTAGTACATTAGTGTTGCTGAAGCCTGAGGCGGTACTGGTAGCAGGTGAAGGTGTATGTAACAGTGTCATATAGTGTGTTGTGCTATTGAACTGTTGAAGAAAAAAGCACAGGCACATGAAACGCTATGGCTTTTGCTGTCAGTACAGTCCTCTCGGGGATCCTCACTGTCAGGATGGCAAATGCCGCAGTGAATTGAACTACTTCAAATGGAGACTGTTTAGTTATTTAAATTACATTTTCTGATGTACAGGGAACCTTCCAGGAGAGCTTTGCTCAGAAGCAACTCTTTTTGTGTTGGTTGCAAATTTCCATGATTCTCAGGTGCACTTGTATTTTGTTATTTTACTGTATGTACCTTTGGTGCCAAAAAGATTTGGGGCAGAAAAAATGACCCCCTAATGTTTTTTCATGTTAAAGCTGGAATTTTTAATGAGGTAAGACAGAGCAGCAAGATATCTAGCATCTTCCATGCGAAATTGCATTTTCATCTGCCTTTATCTGTTAATTATTTCAGCTGAAATTTCTCAGGCCAAAAGGTCAGCCATAAGACTTGGTTTGCCTTGGGAAACTTGGCTGCTGTACTTTGGCCTGGAGCTGCAGGGGGGAGGCAGTCCTTGCCGTGACCCGTGGTCACAGGCAGCTGGGAGGCAAACCAGCAGTGTGACAGCATGGGGGTGAGGGCGCCAAGCGACCTAAAGGTGATGAGGAGCCCGAGTAGGCTGGGACTAGACATCAGTGTGAAGGTGAGGTGAGAACAAGAGGGACAGGCTGGAACAAGAGCCCAGAGTCAGAAAAAAGGTTGGCTGATGTGGTCATGGAGCCAGCCCACAAGCTGAGGCCATGGAGAAGCACAGGAGTAGACTGGAGAGACTTGGAAATGGGGTGTCCGCGTTGACATCAAAGCGTGCTGCCTCCTGAGTGCAGGTCACGATGCAACCTTAGAGCTAGGTGACCTTTTCCAAGGAAACTTGGCAGCGAGCGAGGGGCGATACAGCTTCTGTAAGAGCAAACTTTGTTTTTAATTATGAGGAACAGTGGTATGTTTCATCAACGTGATTGCTCTGGAAGAGTAAATCAGAAACACGGAGATACTTGATACCATCTTGTTTGTTAGGTTTCCTGCTTCTGAAAGTACAGCAGAGGCAGGATGGGCAGCGGAGACCTTTCCTGCTCCACCATAGCTAAAAGAAAACCACGGGATTTGCTTCATTTTGATTTTTCAAAACTGACTCAGTTTCAGGCCTCCTATGGAGAGACTCAGGTGTATTATTAATAAATGTTTTGAAAAGTGGCCA